TGATGAACATGCATGTGTATGTGTGCTGTCTATGAGGGGCCATATCTGCACGTGTGCATGTGCGTGTATATTCTGTGCAGGTCTGAGTGCGCATCTCTGTGTCTGTGTGCATGCATGTACAAGTGTGTGCAGGTGGGCAGGGAATGTGTCTACCTGTGTCTGTGGTTGTGTGCATGTGTGTGCATCTGAGTGTCTGTGTGCATGTACAGGAACACACATGTAGGCGCCTGTGGTGTCACTCTCTCTGTGTGCATACATGGGCACAAGTGTGTTTCTCCAGGAGGAAACTGGGAAGTGAGTCTCAGGCAGGTGGCATTTTCTAGTCTTTCCAGCTGCCAGCTGACTATTGGCCAATTCATCTCCACAGGCAATGAGATCCACCTAAGGCTGAAATAAGATCCGGCACTGAGGCGCTCACAGACACGCTCGAGGCGGCTGCCCTCGGTAGATGCGGGAACTATTTCCCATGGTCCTCAGGCCCTGGCACCTGACTGGGAACCCTGGGTGTTCCTGGATTTGGGGCCAGATAAAGGCGGGTCAGATTAATGCCACAAAGCCCGCCCATTCCCATTATTATCTTATCATCCCTTAGCTCAATCAGGATTTCTCTCTCCACCCCCAGGGGATTTCTGTCCCCCACCCCCACCCCCACCCCCGGCTCAGCTGGTCTCTGCAGGGCAGAGGCCCCTCCAGTGGGCCCACAGCTTGCTTGAAAGAGTTTTTCCAGGCGAATACTCTCCCATAAAGACTCAATTAATGCAAGGAGGAGTCAGAACCCAAGCAGGGGAGAGGGCTAAGCCATTTTGCTTTTCTAACAGTTCGCAAAATTCTGCCCTGCTTGAAGAAATCCTGGTATTGTAATACTCTTCCACCGAGAAATCCCTTTATCTAGGGATAGTTGTGCATTACCTAAGCAACTATGCTTCTTAAACTATGATGATGAGAGCTGGCCTCCAACTGGCCAGCCAGCGTGTTGTGTCCCAGTGTCTGGTCCCCAGAGTGATCTCAACCAAGCCACTCAATTTTAAAACAGCAGCAGCAGCAGCAAAGGCCCCACACCATGACCAGGACACTACAGAGCACTGGGAAGCAGAGGGCGGGGCAAGCCAGCCGTCAATCACGGTCTCTACCACGGAGGATTGGGCCCACCTCTTTCTTCTGGCATAGAAGTAGGAAGTGTGAGGATGATCAAGGCACTGTTTTTGACAGGTGCGGGCATGTGCCTGGATCACAAGATGGCAGGGGGTGGAGGGCACCTGTCCCTTCTGCAGGTATCCTACTGGGCATTGCTGGGGCCCAGCCCCAAGAGCCCTGGGCACACACCATGATGGGAGGCAGGTGGCACTGTTTGCCGTCCACCCAAGGGAGTGCAGGGCTCTGAAGAGCCCCCGGAGGATGTGGGCTGTTCCTCCTCTCTTCTGTCAGAGGCCAGGCCCCGCAGCTGCCAGACACCAGGCCGCGTTCCCGCAGGGACTGGAGTGTGGTGGCCGCCAACTCTCTCCCTCGCTCTCAGCAGTTCTTCCTGGGAGTCCCCAGAGTTCACTCAGCGAGAGCCTGCTTATAACTCTTCCTCTTCGGAGCCCATCCCTGGTGTCAATGCCTATTTCCAGGAAATAGTTTCTGACACCACGCGGCTGGGTCTCGTGAGGGGTGGACACTCTATAGTCCACCCTGGAGGAGGCCTGGTCTCAGGGCAGCGAGGGGCTTTGCCTTCCCATCACTCCTCCAAAACAGGGACACACATTCCAATTCTTCTGTGCGCTGTGTGGGCTGCGGGACACTCTGTCCCTACTGCCCCCCACCCCCCCGCAGTGGTAAGGGTCGCCGGCGTCCACTCTCCCTCGGTGGTCAGGATCACCAGCATCTACTCTCCCTCGGTGGTCAGGATTACTGGTGTCCATGCTCCCTCAGTGGTCATCCATCCATCCATCCAGTACCTACTTCCTGGGACCCCTGCGTTGCACATGCTGGCATGATGCACCTATCGCTCGCATCATGGTCCACGGTGGTTGCTTGTCCCCACGAGGAGACCCGGGGTGTGCACTGGCCCCGCCCTGCTTAGCCTTGCCAGCTCCGAAATCGCCATTTAATTACCTGTGAAGTTCCCTTGGAAGCAAGGCAGCAGAGGGCTCGTGAACCCTCTCAGTTCATATTCAATGAAGACCATTGCTCTACTATCCCAAGCCGATGATTTCCTCCCCAAGATGAGCAAGATTGATGTCTTACCCCTGCATTATTAAATAAGAACAGTTGTAAGCTCAGCGGGCTCACGTACCAAAAACAGCATTAATTACCTGTTTCTTCCAAATGCTGAGACGGCTCCTCCGACTGGTAGAAGCCATGAGGGAGCAAAACCTGGGGACCCCGCAGCTTCAGGCTTGGCCAGATTCAGGAGGGCGACCCAAGCGTTAGGTGGTAACTGCTCTCCCTTCTCCTCCTCTTGCTCTTCCTCCTCCTCCTCCTCCTGCCCGTTTTGAACTCAGAGCCTTGCTGGACTACTAGTTAAGCTTCGTCCCCTTTTTGCTTTATTTTTCAGGTCTATGTCTGGGCCTAACTGGCCTTGAATCCTTCTATTCACGCTTCCCTGTGGCTAGGATGGCCGGTGTGCACTGCCCTGGCTGGCTTTTGTTGGTTGAGATTGTCTCACACTCTCCCCCTGGGCTTGCTGGCCAGGGTCCTCCTGATTCCTGTCTCCCTGGGGGCTGGGATTACAGGCGCCTGCGGCCCAGCAGGATTGGCCTTCATAACCATCAGGCTCACTGTCCTGCTTGCCAACGTGACGAGGAGATGAGAGGGGGCTGAGAATACACGCCTGATCAGCACACACGCACGCGCACAGGTTCCGAGTTCGGGCCCTGACTGGCGTGCCGGTGGGCATTCTTGGGTAGATCTACCCAAGAATTTCTCTGGGTGCTGACTGCAGAGGGATAAATGCAGGTGACACATGGCTCACGCCAAAGGGATGTTCCCAGTGCAGGTCTCCGTACTCGTGAGGCAGGGTGGTAGGACCCACGGTGGGTGGGTGTGAGCACTGCAGTCCCCACCTCCCTCCCCACCACCCAGCTCTCACAGGGCTCAGCGTCGGCCCCAGCTGCAGGAAGAGAAAAGTCCTCCCTCGGACTTTTCAACTCGGGAAGTTGTTTAGGATTCCAGGAGAGAACGCCCTTTCATCTTCTAGTGTATTTTCTCCTCCCCTTTCTTGTTTACTCCTTCCTCATCAGGAAAGCATTTGCTACTTGGGACCCAAAGACTTCCCGTTAATACAATCATCCTAAATACTCGCATAACCAAACAAAACTGCAGATGCTAACGAGCAAGCAAATACAACTCACATGTTGGGTAGAAAGCCATGTAGATGGCTCAATGGCATACAGACTTAAAAAAATGATCTGTAATTACTGGGGGAAAATGTGGCCACTATATTAAAATAAGCTCTTTATTTGTGAGGAAAAAGACCGTCATATTAAGAAAAACAAACCAGGAATGCTGTTCTTTATATTTACATGAATTGAGATAATTTGGACTCTTGGGATTAATGTGAGGTTCCATTATGGATCGTACTCCATCTGTATCTTTCTGAATAGACACAGCTAAACCTTCTCCAGCCATATGCTGCCTGAATGCAGGCCGTTATCTAAATTCTCCTGGAAAAATGCTCCAATTTGTACATCTCCATCCCTCCTGATACATTTTTTTTCTTTTACCTCCATTTCCAAACTCCTTTGCGGCATTGCAGGCAGAAACCACATCCTCAACCCCGCACAGGGCTCCGACTGCAAAAGCCAGGGGAGTGGCCCTCAGCCATTCTCCGCAGGGCGCACAGCCCCCGGGGGCGTCCCCCTGGCAGGGCGCCAGGCGCGGCCACCTGGGGTCCCAACCCAGACCGCCACCTGCTTTTGTTCATCTGCACACCAAGAATGTGTTACTTAGAAAGCAATTCGTAATGGAGCCATGCTTATGACCTGTGAGACTCAGGCACGGTTTGACCATTGGTCTGTGTGAAGAGCCTTGGGGGCCAGACACGGACTGCATTCACCTCGCTCCTCCTCTCCCCATACTGCAGCATGTTGGAGAGCCACAGAGAGCCACTCTCCAGCCTGTGGAACTCGAAGACATATGCAGGTCCTGTACATGGACTGGAGGGGTTTCAGGCCCCTTCTTTAGAGCTCTCTCGAAGCCAGAGGATCTCAGTTCTGCTAGAGCCCCTATGTGTCACCCGAGAGGCCTTTGCCTGTGCTGAGTCCTACAGACCGTGGCACCACAACTGGAGAGCCGGGGCAAGATCCAAGCTGCCTTCACCCTGTGGGCACTCGTGGCCGTAGGATTCAGGCTGTCTCCCTCCCACAGCCTTCCTGTCACTGTCGATGCTGCAGGAAGAGGCCTGTGGACGCTCAGGTATCCACCCGGGGCTACCTGCAGGGCCACGCACAGGTCAGTACCAGGAAATACCACAAAGCCACCTGCATTCCATGGATTACTTTGCCCTGTGGGGCCCGGGACACGCTCCCTGGCTGAGATGGGAGACACTGGGCATTTTAGAGCAAAAGCTCTCTGCTTCTCCTCCGTGCCAGCACAGCAGGACCCGGGTGCCATGGTGCTCCCCCACAAGAGAGTGATACCCCCTCCGGGGCCCCCGCGGGGGGCTAAACACCTGCCCTTCTGAAGGGGCTGTACTGTTACGAGATTGCACACCGCGCTATGTAATTTCAGCAGAGGATATTTGGAGTTTGCTCAGAAGAGGCATTGAAATCAAATAATCCATTTATCAAGCTGCCTTTTGTTTCAGGAGAAAGGAAACAATGGCCATATTTAGCAGAAAGAGACGTCTGTGTCTGAGGAATGTTAATAAATCACGAGCAGGGAAGGGAAGGACTCGGGCTGGCTTGTGTTTCAAACGAGCTGCCGTGACGTGGAAGGTAAACCCAGCCCGGCGACCCTTGAGGCACAGAAAGGCCAGGGCGCGGCGCCTCTCAGGTGTCTGATGTCACCTGGTGAACGAGATGTCGGAGGACAAATGCACTGCGGCCATCGAGGCCGGCAGCCTCCTGACTGCAGATTCCCTTCTTGCCTGGATACCACGCCACTGTTGGTCTTCACGTGTGAACATCAACCATTTCTCAAGCCCCAAAAGCCTTTTCTCCCAACTTACCAAGCTGCTGCTGCTGCTGGCAAAAATGGTGATGATGATGATGGTGGTGGTGGTGATGATGATGATGGTAATGATGATAAAAGGAAAAACAGTTCCCCCATCCATTGTCAGGCTGGCCAAGAGCACTGCTTGTTGATCTAAAGGAGTTTTCAGCAATTCAGTCTAAACATATAGATTCTGAGGCTCAGATATTTAAAGTGTTTGAGGAAAGAAATCCCCATCGAGTAAGGTGTGTTTTGGGGATGCATTGACTTGTTGTGGATTCTGTCTGGCTCGAGATGTTTGTTGTGATTTCTTCTTATGCTGGAGAAGACTGGACTAACAGCTTTCCTGCATTCTCCCAGTTCATGTTGGATAGCACTTAGCACTCTCCAAGATCGGGTTGGATGAGCATCCGGCCCACACTGCCATGGTGTCTTCCTCCCTTTCTGCTGATCCAAAGTGTGTCCATGCTGGAATCACTGGCTTCGCTACTCTTGGTGAAAGCCCTTCTTTGGCCTGCTTTTGTTCCTAGGAGCCACTGCTGGAGGTTTGGTTTGATCTTACCTCCTTGGAGAGGGAAGCGGGACCTGGCGGTCCCTTATCTCTTCCTGACTTGGCATATCCTGAAAATCTCGTCCCTGTGCAATTCTTTCACTGGGTGACATTATGGGATGGGCTCACAAGAGCCTAGACAGTGTGTGTCCATCACTGGATGCAGGCCCTTGATGTACTCAGCATGCTTGGCCAACAGAAGACAGCTGAGGTGTCCCGCCGCTGGTGTGGGACCGCACGCTGCGCCACGGTCTCCATTCTCCTCTCCACCAGGGGAGAATGCACAGGAGCAAACACATAACTGACACGGTCGCTTGATATCATTGCCGCATATTCTGCACATGCGTGACTGGACAGGCTTTGTCCTCCTAGGGCGGGCACCGCAGCAGAGCAAGCTTGCTCATGCCAGCGTCTCCTCGGAGTGAGGGCCGGGTGTGGCACACTGACACCGCCGTGGCTGAGAGGCTCACAAGGCTCAGCAGCTCACAGCATCAGCAGCGTCTAGGTGGACAGTTGTTCACAGAGACATCACATGTGTGCGTGCGTGCGTGTGTGTGTGTGCATGACTGCCTTTCTTTTAGAGTCCATGATGGGTATCCAGCCTGGGGCAAAATCCAACCCTGCCCACCTTCCTCGAATGGCTTCCCCTCCTCCGTCCCCAGGTCCTGAGGGTTCTCCCCACCCTCCACCCTCATTGGAGTCCCACCCTGGGTCCTTCCCCATCCCTCCAGTTCCAGCCCAGAGTTAGCCGGAAGGCGTCACCTGGTCAGCGTGTCTGAAAGTGAGCCTCAGAGTGCAGCCCTGAGTGCCTCTGGTCAGCTGACAAGGTCGCACCCCTGTCATTCTGTCGGGGCAGCAGGTGACACTGCCATCTTCTAAGGCCTACTATCTCCCCATCTCAAAAACTCAATTTCCGGCCGTGGCTTTGCAGTGGAGTCCTCTGATGAGCAAGTGATGGAGGACGCAATATCCCCGCTTCTGACAGCAGACTCCGATAAGGAGAATGGATAAGCAGGGAGGTGACAGCACGTGGACGGGCTGTCTGCGTGGGGCAGGTGCAGACAGGCAGCTGTCATCTGCTCCCAGCGCCTCCCCGCGTGGCCTTCAGATGCCAGCACTGGTTTTCCCGGGGTATTGATTGGGGCCTGAGAAATCACTCGCCGGCCCTGTCTCTCTGGAGGACACTGGTGTGACTGGCGCAGGCAGACTGAGAGAAGGGTGTCTGGCAGACTTGCAGAGACACGGCAGCCGTGAGCTGGCTTCCTTGGACCCGGGAAATCATATTTTAGGAACAGGTATCCTACGAAAGCTGGCGGCCACCTCCAGTTCCTTAGCCTGCTCTGCCAAGCTTCCTCAGACCTGAGATGTGCCCAGGCGATGGAGCAGTGCTTCGGACTGTCAGGGTGCAGGCGGGGTCTCGCACACCTCCCGCCGCTGGGTATTGGATAGGCCCAGACCGGGCTTGAAATCAGAAATAAATATGTAGCAACAGCCAACCCCACTGGAGTCCTTAGGCAATTGGTAAACAGGGGCAAGGGTCATCTCGCCAACCCTGCCCATGCCCGGGTGGGAGGGTGGCTGGTAGAGAGAGGTGGGCCCGGCCGTTTTGTGGCAGCAGATGGCTGGGTGTGCATTTCAGCTTCCTTCCCCCTCAGGACTTCCTGGGGAGGCGGTCAGTTTCCCTGGCCCTCATTTTCCTCCTCTATATGAAGTGATCCTTACAATTCTTAACTGCACAGGTCATTAAGAACAGGCTGAGATTCTGCCTTGAAGTGATCTAAATCCCTACCCAGCTCTTAGGAGGGAGCTGGCGGTGGTGCTGGCTACTCTACCAGGGGCTGCCTCATCACAAAAGGCACAGAGGCCCGTTACTCCCCTGGAGGGGGGGGCGGAGGGAGGTGGGGGAGTAGGCTGCAGGCAGGCTCTAGGGGGCCCTCTCTCTTCCACAGGGAAGAGAGCTCATCCTCTAGTAAGGTGAGCTCAGTTTGTTCTTTATGGAGATGTCAGGAGCCAAAAGAGTACAAACAGCCTCCGTTCCCTGGGCTCCGCTGTGACACGCTGCCCCTCGGCCAGTGCCGTCACTCCGAGTGACTGGGAAGCCAGTGCTGATCTGATGGTTGAGACGGCAGTCGGCACCTCTCGAGGGGAGCAGTCACACAGAGGATGTGCGCACGAGTCCAGGGACCAGCTTCCACAGCCGCTGACACCTACAGTCCAGAGGTGTCTGCCTACATGTCTATCTGTCTGCACGTGGGAAACGAAGCTCACAGGAAGGAAGAATGCACCACTGTTATGTGGCTGATGAGTAGATCAAGCCTAGGTCTCTCTCCACGGCCACCTGTCCTGCCTTTGGCCTCTGCCCAAGGTCCCAGCCCTCCCCTCACAGTGTCCTTGGCTCAAGTTCAATCTCACACCCTAGAAGAATTCAGAAGTAGGCTCAGCAGAAAGGCTGGAGCTTGGAGCTAGCTGTCTACTCCCTGCTCAGGACAGAGTGAGCTGCTCAGAAAATGAAGTACCGCCGAGAGGAGGCAGGCAGGCAAACCCACCACACATGGCCTCGTCTTGTGAAGCCTCAGCTCAGTACCTGCTCGAGAGCAAATGTTCACCGTGAGATGTTCTTCAGATGCTGCGCTTGCAGATGGACATTGAGGAAACGGCTTGTGATCCTCGTGCAGGCAGGCCTGGGCCTCTATTTGATTTCCAAAGCCTTTGAGAGAGAGAGAGAGATGAATCTCTAAATCTGTGCACTTCAAGTTCTAAGAGCTGGGGGGGGGGGGTGGTAAGGATGAATATTTCAAAAGGAAAGCATTAGATGTCACCATTGCTTGGGGTTTTGTTTTTGTTTTTAGTAAAAATATGAGAAGTTTTGCTTAACTAGCTGATGGCTCCTTTGGGGACAGAGATCCAGAACTCTTTTTGGAATATTGTACCGAGGCAGGACCTCGTGAGTGTGTCTCAAGCTGGTGCTGGATGGGAGGGGTTAAGGGAAATGCTGAGCCATTCCCAGAGGGAAGAGGATGAAGGGCCCCGTTATGGTGTCCTTGGGAGGGGCCCTCAGGGCAAGGGGCAGGCAGGAGTCTCATTTCCTTGAACAAGTCATCTGGCCGCAGTGGCAAAGGTGGCTCTGATCTGGGGGCAGAGTCCCTGCCAGGGAAGGATTAAGGATGCCTGGCATTTAATCCTGGGGGCTGCTTGGCTTTGTTGGGGAAGAGGACTGGACTCTGGCCTGCAGGCTGGCATCCCACAGCAGGCTCGGCTGCTTTCCTGCAGGAAGGAGGAGGTCTCTGCTCAGAGGATTGAGAGCTCCCTGGAAGAAAGGGTCCCAAGGAAGAATACCTCTGAATGTCCCCACACACACACCCCCCTTTTACACTGTTTCACTGTTTGAGACAGAATTGCACATATAATGTTCCTTTCCCACGATATACCCAGAGGATTTTCTTAATAAGGAGATTCCTCTTACATAATTACAGTACACTTGTGAAAATGAGGAAATGAACACTGATACAATATTCACTCTTTTAGAGAGTGACTGCAAATGTTGTCACCTTTTTTCTCAGTAGTTGGTTCAGCTTAGCGTTTTTACTCATTGTTTTCATTACTGTATGTAAAATGTTAACATATTCCAAAATTTCTGACTAGAGAAGAAAAAAATCCATCCATTCTACCCTTCCACCTCCCCTTGCCGGCCTTTGCTCTCTGCTCTCCTGTCTGGGGCCCGGCTGGTAACAGGCAAGGGTGCTGGCTCATCCTTGATGTGTTGTGTGTGTCCACGAATGAGCAGACACCGAGTGCTGTGATCTCCCTTCTCTCGCACACAAAAGGCACCATATGATAGGCAGGCTTTGTACTCTGCTTTTGTACTTAGCAGTACGCCCTTGAAATCTCTCCGTATTGGCTGGTACAGACTTTCCACCCTCTTTTTCTGGACTGCATAGTCCGTTGCTATGTGATGTCCTCCATTTCCTGCATCTCTGTGTTGGTTTATGTATCAGAGTGAACCACGTAGTTGTAGGCACATCTTATGATTGACAACAATGTTTTGATGAGTGATCTTGTACATATTGAGCATATTGATCGCTGAATCACCTCAGCTGTGTCTCTATCATCAGATGGATTCAAGTAAAAGGAAAATGCATATGGCGTTTCATTAGATGGTGCCTGATTTCTTCCAGAGGATTGGACCAATGTACTAGACTCTCTCCCATCTATAATCTTGCTAACAATATGTTTACTGTGATGCTTTGTAATTTCTACTGGCATGATAGATAAGAAAGGCTACATGCTCATAGTTTTAACTTATGTTTCTCTAATTGTGGGTACAATGGAATAGCATTCATGCGTGTAATGGCAATTTTAACATATTTATTGAGAATGGTTTCTTCGTATCTTTGCCCATTTCACTCTCCAATTTTTTATTCTTTTTTCCCCTCATGACAAAGTCTCTCACCATCAGTGATATTGGTCTTCTCTCAGCAGGACATACAAGACAAATGTGTTCACACAGCTTGTCATTTTTCTTTTACCTTCATGGTGTTTTCTGTCATGCAAATTTAGAAATTATATAAGTAAACTTACCATGTTATAATGCATTTGGATTTCGAGCCATGATTAGAAAACTTTTCCTACCCTTATGCTATGATGGAGAAACCCTTCACATCATCTTTACTACCTGAAAGATTTAATTTTCTTATATGTAAATCACTGGTCCACTTGAAGTGTATTCTTAAGTAGGCTGTGAAGTAAGGATCTAATTTTATCTTCTTTCCAAATGGCTACCCTGTGTCCCAGCACTATTTACTAAAAATGTATGTTTCCCTAGGGATTTGAGATGCCACCTCGGTCTTAGGCTAAACTTTTTTGTGTTCTTGTTGGGTTTATTTATGGTTTTTCTATTTCACCGGTCTATTTTCCTATTCCATTAAATGCAATTTAAACTCATGCAAATTACTTCTCAGAGGTAAAGCGCCAGCTTTCTGTTTGCTGCACTTTGTAAACCTGTCACCATTCACCAAGTCTTACTTCACAGAACCCTGTTTTACATACTTCAGCCCAACCTAAGTATGTAATTTGTAATCCCGTAGAGTCGTTTAACTGGCTGAATCCAGAAGGAATACGAAGGTGTCTAAGCCAGGCTCTGGTGGTTTCTGTCTGTGACCCTAACTGCTCAGAATGCTGAGATCTGAGGATGTCTGCTTGCAGCCCATGCACACAGGGAGTTACCCAGCAAAATAATATCAACAATAATAATCATAAATAATAGACTAGAAGTGGAGCTGTGGCTCAGTGGCGGAGCACCGGCCTTGCATGGAAAAACCAGGCAAGGGCCGACTTCCAGCCCCAGTACCAGGAGGCGCGCGCATGCACACACGCACACGTGCACACTCGCGCACACCACAGACTTGCCACGTAGCCATCAGAACTCCTGCCCCCAGGCCCTCGGCCCGCCGCGCTGACCACTGTCCTCTCTCTCTCTGCCCGCAGTGATCGAGGCCCGCGGCCTGGCCGACGACGGCGTCCCCGGCCTGTCCTCCTCGCCACCCTACCTGCCGGTGAGCTTCCAGCTGCTCGGGGCCGAGGCCGCCTTCTTCCTGGCCGAGAGCGGCCCCGCCGCGCCCCGCAACGCCAGCCTGCGGTCCCGGGCGCAGGCCTTCTTCCTGCACCGCGCGCGGCAGCCGCCCGAGCTGCAGGCCAGCCTCGGGCCCTTCTCGGCCGCCAAGGCCGTGCCGCTGGACCGGGCCGGCGAGCTCCCCTGGGGCCGGCAGCTGCGGGCACGCGTGCTGCGGGACTCGGCGGCGCCGGGCCGGCCCCGCGTGCAGGTGCTCTTCCACGTGGCGGGCGGCGCCTGGGCGGACGGCCGCGCCGCGCGGGCGCCGCTGCCCTGCCTGCGCCTCTCCGCCTTCCGCGACGCGCGCGAGGTGCGCGGCGGCTGCCGGCCCGGCGGGCCGCTGGCGCTGTGCGTGGCCGAGCTGGAGCTGCCGCCCGGCTGGTTCGCCGCGGGCCCCCCGGGCGCGGGCGGGCGCGGTCGGCCGGCGGAGCCGCGGGACGGGGCCCGCGTGGAGCTCTACTACGCCGCGCAGCCCGGGGACGCGCGCGGGGCCTGCGCGGGGCCCGACGCCAGCCAGGCCAACGCCATCCGCCCTGGCAAGGACGCGCCCGGGCCCGGGGACGCCGCCGGCCGCCTGCGCAGGATCGGCGCCGTGCGCCTGCTCCGCGCGCCCGACGGCGCCGCGCCGCGCGAGCTCCGCCTGGACCGCGACGTGGCCGTGCGGCTGCCCGCCGGCCCGGCCCGGCCCGGGGACGTGGTCACCGCCTCGGTCGCCGTCGCCGCCAACTCCACCGTGGACCTCTTCGTCCTCAGGTAGGCGCCGGGCCCGGCCTGGGGCGGGGGGGGGGGGGGGGGAGGAGCGGGGCCCACGCGGGCCGCCCGGGACCTGCTGCCCGGGACCCACTGCCCGAGACCCGCTGCCCGGGACCCGCTGCCCGAGACCCGCTGCCCGGGACCCGCTGCCCGAGACCCGCTGCCCGGGACCCACGTGGGCCGCCCGGGACACGCTGCCCGAGACCCGCTGCCCGGGACCCACGCGGGCCGCCCGCCCTGCAGAACGGAGGGCGGAAACCACCCGACCCAGACAGGCGGCCTCACCCCGGCCCCCGACCTGCGGTGGGGTCCGAATCCGTCTCTGGCTTGGACACGCGGGTCTTCCAGTGGCTGTGGGGTGGGAACCGACGGGAATGGCGTGTGTGTGAGCGCGCGTGCAGAGCGCCCAGGCCTGCAGCGCGTGGCGGTGGTGTCGTTGTCGCTGTGGTCGTTGTTTCTTGCCTTTGGCGGGTTAAATGTTGTTCAATGCTGCCGGGGAGCGGTTGGGATGATGGGTTTGCGCTCCGACCAGACGCTGGGCCGCAGAGCGCATGCCCGACCAAACAAGGCCGCCGTGAGCTGGGCCGCAGAGCACACGCCGGACCAACTGCTGGGCCTTAGTGCGCATGCTCAACCATACTAGGCCACAGCATGCATGTGTAGGCCGCAGCGTGCACGCCCGACCAAACGCCGAGCCTTAGTGCGCATGCCCAACCAAACCAGCGTGCATGGCTAGGCCACAGAGCACGCACGTGCCTAGGCTTCAGAGCGCATGCTCAACCAGATGCTGGGCCACAGAGCGCATGCCCAATCAAACGCTGACCAGCAGAGCGCATGCCCAATCAAACGCTAGCCAGGAGAGCGCATGCCCAATCAAACTCTAGGCTGCAGAGCGCATGCCCAATCAAACGCTAGCCAGGAGAGCGCATGCCCAATCAAACTCTAGGCAGCAGAGTGCATGCCCAAAGCAGAGCACGTGCCCAATCAAACTAGGCCACAGCGCGCGCCCAGCCAGACGCAGCGAGCGCGGCGGCCCAGCCTGTGCGCACCCCCCGGCGGTCCCGCACCGCTGGCCCCGCACCGCTGGCCCCGCGGACCAGGCGCAGGCTGGCCAGAGTTGCTCCGTGCTCAGGGCTTGCTCCAGAACCCGGTTCCCGAGCGTGATCTGGGGAAGGCCAGGGAAGGCCGCGAGTCTTCACACGCAGACGGGAATCTCACACTGAGATGAATGTATTCGTTTGAGACTTTTTTCAAGGATCATTCTAGAAACAGAGATGCCCAAATGAGCTCCTGCTAGGTTGCTTTAGGACTTAGGCCCGACCACTCCTCCTACGGTTGTCTGGGATTTCTTAACGCAGGTTGTACGTGGACGGCTTGGGGACACTGATAAAGCACCGCGCATGCTCCGTGCCAGCTTAGCCTCTGGGCCCAGGCTTGCCACGTGGGTGCTGTAAAGTTCAGCACCAAAGTTCCCCAACACACCAGCCGAGCCGAGGGCACTTGTGTCTCAGGCGAGCCGGACTCCGTGACCCGCCGCACACACGTCGTCTGAAGACTGTCTCCAAGTATCCGCTCTCATGCCAAAGGTGGAGTCTCACTGTTTAAAAAGGTCAGGTCATAGACAGTAGACACATCTTCGGGTCTTGGCGTAATCCGTATTAAACAGGTGATCCACTCTGACAGTTTGTCAAACAGAATTTCAATCCCTCCTCTCCCACCCCTGTCCGCTCTTTTCTCCTTCTCTCTTCCCCTTCCCCATCCAGTCATCTCTTCCTTCCCCTTCTAGCCCCTCCCCTCTTAAGCAAATACTCCCCAAATGTCAGAGCGGGAACTTCTCTATCTCCTCTCTGCCGACAATTCTCAAGGATAACAGAATGGCAAGTTTCTGTGCTCTGTGCCCTCTGCTGGGTAGGTTCTGTGCCAGGACTGATAAATGTAGCCCTGGGGATATCAATCCTAACAGCAAAGATTTTCTTTCAAACATCAGATGTAGTGAAGCAAGGAAGTGCGAGAGAAGCAGTTCCACTCAGAGCCTGCTGTTTCCAGGAGCGCCACTTTGCAGGCAGGGCAGGGAGCAGATTTCAGTGCGGACCCTGAGCCGGCATTGGAGGGCTGTGTTCTGTTCCTCTCCAGCTCTTGGTTGTAGGTCCTGCTGGTTTATGGGTCCTTCCCTGGCATGGCTGGTGGGTGAAACAGTGTTATTAGCAACTAAAGTCCCCACCACCACCATGGAATCAGCACCACTGCTTCGCCTGTGCTTAAAAGCACGAAATGCTCCCAGCATGTGCCAATGGATAAATAAAAAGGATGGATGTAGGGGAGGAAGAAGCTTTTAGAAGTACTAAGTGGCTTTTCATGCAGGAATGTTGGGTAGGTAAGGTCCTTCCCAGAGGCTTCGCTGTATGACAGGGGAATTCAGGTGGCACTCACAGGGTGGAGCCCACCTCCTTTAAAGGGGATGTTTTTGGTAAGATGAATCTACTACAGACAAACTTCATCCCCAACCAGCTCAGAGCAGAGCCAGAGGCTCCCAGTGTGATTCAACCAAATTACAGGAAGTTATACAAGCATGTAGAGCAACACTGTTTACCATGCCCACAGCATGGGAGCTACTATACCCAGGTGTCCTACACTCCATGGGTGAGCGGCAAGCCTGATACGCCCAGTTAGTGGAAGATAAAAATCCTATAAAAGGATTTTTACAATGCAAATTAACCTTGATTAATTGATGCTGAATGAGAGAATCCAGACATAAAAGACCACATGGGTTTATGACTGTATTTATATGAAACTTCTAGAACAAGTGAACCCATAGAGACAGGAAATAGCAAAGTGGTTTCCAGGACCCAAGGAGATGACGAGGATGGGGGGGAGGAGGGGGGAGATTGTAATGACCATGAGATTTCTTCCTGAACTAGGTAGTTGTGAGGGTTGAGAGCCAGGTGTGTAGGTTGAATGGTTTAAAATAAGACTGTCCATGAGATTTTTGTTTTGTTTTGTTTTATCGTCGGTCATGGGGCTTGACCTCTGGGCTTGGGTGCTGCCCCTGTGCTCTTCAGCTCAAGGCAAGCACTCTACTGCTTGAGCCACAGCTCCAGAGCTGGGGTTGGAACCCAGGGCCTTGTACATGCTAGGCCAGCACTGTACTGCTGAGGTACAATCCCAGCTAGTTGCACAGCTCTAAACCCAGCTGGGCCTCCTCCCAGTGCCACGTTGTACTACCACAATGGAGCTCCACGGGCAGGGGCCACGGGGAACTGGAGCTTGCACGCTGCTTCTGTAGGGATAGTGATTTTCTGAGTCCATCAGCGGGCTGCATGCAGGGATTGAAGCACACTTCACTCAGGTCTAGTGATTTTAAAGAGAAGCCTCAAGTGTGAGATCTGTAAGTGCAGTCTCTGGCTTTGTGAGAGGGGTGGACATCAGGGCCTCTTCCAGCCATTGCTGTCTGTGGGCTGCCATATTGTATTAGGTTCCCACAACCTTGACAGTTGAAGCACAGATACTTCCTTCCGCTGCAGCTGTGGGGACGAGAGGCCTGAGATTGAGGTTGCAACAGCGCCGCACACCCCGACAGTCTTGTGACGCAATTAGTGGCCATATTGCAAGTCTGCAGTGACTTTCTCTCTGGCCCCCGTGTGTGCCTCAGAGTCACCTTTCCTGCTTCCAACAGTCATTGGGTTCTCATGGCAATCGAGAGGGATTCCAGTGGGAGACTCTTGACCGTTTCCCAGTTGTGCTCCACACAGGCATGAGTTAGGGTTGGGAAAGCGGTTCACCCCACTGCCAGGCAGCCCAGATGCATTGAGACTTTCCATTCAGCCTTTCCTTGGCCCTTCTGAGCTGCGGAAGCCTCTGGCACCCTCAAGGTGCTCCCTGTGCTTAGGGAGCAAAGTTACAAACGGAAATCTCTGCCCTCGCCATGTAGAAGAATAAATCCTTCCTTGCCAGAGACTAGGCCAACCCTCTCAAATCCATTCCTCTCACTGCTGATCATAGCCTGTGTGTCTGGTCTTGCAATTTAATTTCAAAGAGTTGTCTTTTTTTTCTGATCTCTTTTGTTTCTGAGGATTTGAAAAACCCTCGAAACCTGACTGGCTCTGGGCAGTTGCTGGACCCTCATTTCCTACCGTGCAGAAGTCTGGCTTCCAGGAAGGACTTGGTCACTCTCAGACTCATCGTTTGGAGGAGAAGACTGATCTGGGTTGGAATCAAAAAATTCTGGAAACCCATTTTCCCACACTCTGTCTAAAGTTCATTTCCCCTGTCGGATGCCTCCAAAGGCAGGGCTTGTTTTCATTTTCCTCAGCTTGTCATCTTAAATGTATTCTCCTGGAACAGAGAAAAGGAACAATTTTCTTTCCGCTTGGGAAGAAGTGAAGAAATAATGTTTCCTGCCCTGCCCCATCCCCTCCCCGCTCCCCACACACATCTGGGTTGCCAGGCAGCCTGGCGGCGGCGCCGCTTTTGAGGCTGCGATTTTGCTGTGTGGGAAACACTGGAACATAAAATTGACTCCAGCTTTGTGAACAGAGAAAGGAACCAGAGCCCTTCCGACCCTCGTCCCACCTCGCATCTCCACATTCTGTAACCCACTTAAAAGCCATCTTCATCCTCAAGTTTCCCAAACCACAGCTTTGCCTGTGGCACACAGGGTGATGGATGCGGGCATAAGCAGAACCTGTGGTCTACCTCATCTTTCTAGGAGGACAGATGGGCGCGGGGAGGAGGGAGGCTCTGGACGGGCTGGCTACGGCTCTAGTGTTTCCTCTGCCCTTGTTCCAGAGCTCTGGGCATTGTTACGTGTCAGCACCCCGCCGATTGGTTACCCTAGTATCACCTCTCCAGTGGCTCTCAATATCAGGTCTCTGAACCACGTGTGTCTTGAAACCTCAGGAGCTATTCACTGAGTTGAAGTGTTGGTTTGGAAGGAAAGACTGTCCATGTTTCCAGAACATTCTGCTTACCAGGCACCTTGTGGAAGGTCTTCCCTGAAACCT